AAGTGCCATTGCAATTACCTGTATTCTGAAATTGACCCAATTCAAGCTCTAACATTTGCTTTATTCCCATAGCACAGTTACAATAATATCGAAAAGGTATTTTTTTTCCTATAGTAATCTTTTATACAATTATTAGAAACATAGCTTCATGTAGCTCAGTTATATCTTTGAGTTATCTTTATGTATATATCTTTTCATTCTCTTAGCTAATATTAAAATTCAAGTATTTAAAGTACAGTATAGATAAGACAGAACAAACTGAAACATAAAAAGTCATAAGAGTTTATGTGAATAAAAACAAACTTTTAATAATGTACAACCAAAAATTTGACAGCCTCATTCTTATATTAAAACAAAAGATTTCTTTCCTATATTACATCTATTTACATTTGCATACTGAGGAGATAAAGTGTCTAAGTGGTTATTTTACAGTCTTTCTCTAATAAAACATGTAAAACCTGAAACAAATATAAAGGTCAAGAAAGAATCAACTTTTGGGACAAGAAAGACAGAAGAGACAAGACAATAGTACCAAGAATGATCTATTCTGAAGCCGGTGTAACCCCCAACTGTAAGTCATACCATATAAATTTTGGAAAAGATTTAAGGGCATTGCAAGTACAGTTTTCTACTGGGAAATTTCATATCAAGACACTTTAATGTCTGTTCTGATAAAGCTGGCTGATGTTCCCCAAATGAAATTCAACATTGGAATTCTATCCTGCTATTTGTAACCCCATGGCTGGGTTATTTGGCCAGTGGACTAAAATTTCCTGAAAAAAAAGCTCAATGTACCATGATAGTTACTGGTTTAATTAGCAATGGAACCTGCTACTAGATTTTCTTTAAAGTAACTATGAAGGAATGGTTAGAAACATTAACACTATTGTTATCACAGTAAACAGGATATTTTTCTCCTCTCAGTCAAAAATTCCAACTGCAGTAGTTAACTATCACATCATTAGTGTGATATAGGCACATCAAAAAAAATGTCTTAAAGAAGTATCCAACTCTGCTTTATTAAAATGGTGCAATTTGAAGGCCCTTTCTTGAATATGCCTATAGTCTGAAATCAAGCAAATTTTCCTGTTTTCCATTTAGAAACAACTCTTTGGTCATTTTTAGTTTGTCATGATAATGCAAAAAAAAAAAAAAAATTGCTCAAGAGTCCAGTTCTGCTAGATTAATCTGAGGGTTTCTTTATGAATAAAATGGCTCTCTGGATGGATGCTAGGAGGGCAGAGCCTATTTTGCAGCCTGGGGCACCACCAGATATGATCTGGATTATTTTGAGTTTGTGGAATCCAAGGAAGCAGATAGAATCTTCTGTAGTCTGATCACCCACCATTATGTTGGATTCATGTCTGTACTGACTCCTTTGGGTGGCTAAATAGGGTGTGATCAGCTGGATCTGAGACGTTATTTATGCTTGAGAGAAGCTGATGCTGCCTGCTTTGAAGGGAATAACTGAAGAAGAAAAAAATGGATTCAGCTGTGCTTGATAAAGTTTGCCCTATATGTAATCTACCCTTCTTAGGAAAGGGTGTTGAGTAGTGGGTAATTAGCTAGAGAAGATCCTAGAGGAAGCAAATTATCTGGACTCTTTTCATCAGGATCCACATCTGGTTATGGGACAGAAATGGCACTGGTTTTCCTGATAGATAATCTTCTTTCAGATGCAGATGGGGTGAGGGGACTATGCTCCTCTTAGTTTTATCAGAACTAAGCAGTGTACATTGCCACCAAGAATATCATGGTGTCCTTCTTACAGGAAGCTTGAGGCACCATTTTACAGTAGCTCTGCTCCTACCTGAGTGTGTCAAGGATTTGGGGGAGATGCACCTGAATCCATGAAGCTTCAGTGTGGGATCCCTCAGGGCTCCATGTTGTTTAAAATCTATATGAAACTGGTAGAACAGGCAATTTGCTGGCTCAAGCTAAGCTGACAAATGTAAGCTTCAAATACTTTGGAAGTGTCACCTTGAGTGATGGTTCTTTGGAGAAAGAAATTGACTCCAGGAACAGCATGAATAGTCAAACACTGGGGAGGCTGTGTACTAGAATCCTTAATCAATACAGCATCCATAACTCCATGAAGCAAAAAGTCTACAGAGCCATGGTTAGCCCATCCCTCTTATATAAATGTGAGTCCTGGACTCTGTATCGTAGATACATCAAACTGGAGAAATTTCACTTGTGAGTTCTCCAATCAATCCTTGGCATTTATTGGCAAGACAGTCTCCAACACTGGAAGTTTTTAAGAAGAGACTAGACAGCCATTTGTTTGAAATGGTGTAGGGTTCCTGCCTGAGCAGGGGGTTGGACTCAATGACCTCCAAGGTCCCTTCCAACTTTATTATTATTATTATTATATGGAGTCCACCAGCATTGAGTTCCTGATTATCAGAGGAGATGGGGGGGATATGTCCTCAGAATTGATGACGGCTGTATGCCTTGCCAATTGCTCTACTGGAGTCTGGGAAGAGACCTGAATGTCAATTATGCAAGCTCTACAAAGACACTGTGAAAGAAACCCTAGGCCAGGGTGACACCCAATCATGGGAACTAGAAGCCACAACTAATGACAGAACATGCTGGCAAGCCCTGTGAAATCTTCACCAGCTTTGAAGATAAGGCGCCATTGAAAACTGATAAAAACTGTGGGCAGCATCAGAGAATACACCCACACTTACTACAACAATGGATTTCCATTGCCCTCATTGTGCTAGACTGGACTGCAGAACCACCTCTGTCCACAGATGAACTATAAAACATAATGTCTTCTTCGAACCCTAAGGACACCAATGTTCAATTATATTTCACAAGCCTAAAGAAGTTTTGAATCAGTATCTATAAAGTTTGGATGGAGTAAGCTCACATCAAATTTTGTAAGGCAGAGTAGATAATGGTCAGTAGAAGATTCTGGGATGGATTATCTCCCCCTGAAGGATGTGGTTGTCAATTTGTGATCCATGCGGATTCAGAATTCCTTCTTAAATGGCTGGTGGAAACTGTGGTCAGATGGCTTTGCACTATTTACAATCCTACATGGAACAGAATGCCTTGTGTTCAATAACTCATATTTTGATTACTACTTGACTACTGCAATGTGTATTATGAGCTGCCTTTGAAGACAATCTGGAAGCTGTACCTGATACAAAATGTGGCAGTAAGATTATTGGCAAGATAGCCCCATCTAGCCAGAATTACACCTAAAGATCCTGCATAGGTAGGCGGTAAGCTTCTGGGCCCAATTCAAAGTGCTGGCCATTAGCCGTAGAGCCCTAAATGGCACATGGTAGGACACATACAAGCAATATTATACCAGTGAATCTGCTCACTGGTTTAGTCATCAAGAAAGGGTCCGTCAAAATTCAGTTCCTTTGTGAGGTTTACAATATACTCCAACTCAGGGTATTTTCTCTCTGCAAAAGTACATGCAGTCCCCACCTAGTGCAATTCTGTAAACAGGTTAAAGCTATTTTATTTCAGTGCACTTTTGATCTGGATGACCGTGTATCTTTTTATTTCTGCTCTCTAGTTATTTTTTATTATTGATAAGTATTTGAATTTAGCTATTGTTATAGGTTGGGTTTTTTTTTTGTTTTGATATTGTACATATCCCCGTTTCTTATGGAATTTGAGCAGATTACAAGCACTATTAAATAAATAGCCTTTCATGCAGAACTAGAACTGATTTATTCTGAGAAGGGAGCAACTGATGTAATATTTGTAGCAAATTACCATAAGGCATAATTGGGGGAATTCTACTCCAATTTAAATAGGTTTCTCTGCCTTCTAAGACGTAGATCTAGGAATAAAATGTCAAGAAGTATGCAGTACAAACAGGACACACGCTTTGGCAAAATTATTTACCACTTGGGAATATTTGGAAACAAATACGTTTAAGGGAAGTACACTTTTTAGCCTCATTAATTTCATGTCTATCACTTAAAATCTTCAACTTATCTATGAAAATCAAATGGCTCTTTTTAATTGGAGGTGGATTTGACAGTGAAATTATACACATGAACATTTCCATTACCTGAGCTCCAAGTGTAAATCTTCGTGATACGTTGTTCTCAAGTCCAACTCCAGCAATCATAGATGCCATTTATTTATGAAAATATATGATTAACATAAATTTCAAGGTGCGTTTTACTTTAGATCAGAAATGCGAGGAAGATTTTTAGTAAATGGTGTCCCTTTACTAGAGATTTGTGGTGGTCTCTGGCTCAGAAATGATCAGACCAAAATAACAGAAAAGGGCAAGTTTTACAATCAGAAGCACAAATCCCACATATGCCTACAAACAAAAGCGCCTGAGATTTTCAGAACACAGCATTAAAGGAAGCTACAACTTGTTACAGACCTAAAGGAACATATCAAATTGACTCCAATACACAATGCAACTTTGCAATGTATATAATACAATCAAAGACACAAGAAAGGTTAAGGGAGAGGGAAGGAAAGACACATGCCTATTTTGACAAACAACAAATACAGAATATTTTATATTCTTATAAAATCCCCTGTCCAAGAAGGGATAATTCCTCCTCTTAGTAGTCAAGGGCTCATGGTTTGTATAGAAACAGTTCCAGTGTAAAATTGAGCTGTGTGCATTTCTCAGTTTTTTTCTCTCTTTTTTTGCAGTGATTTCTTTATAAACAAACGAGAGGTAATTATCTATTTTTATAAACAATAGTAAAAAAAGTTAAAATCCAGCCCCTCCATTAAAACAAGAATTAAAAAAATTAATCAAACCACTCCAGTTAAAAGTTATGGCTTCAGGAGTTATCTATCAAACACCCAATCTACACATAATGGAGTTTCTAATGCATTATTTGCATCACAATACAATCTCAGGCTGTTCCCCCCCACAAAACGATGTGACAGCCTAATCAGTCCTACTATGCCCTGATCATTTAATTCAAACAAAATGCATGCAGTTAATCCATTCCCAATTCTTCCCGACCCCACCCCACCCCACCCCATGCCCAAGTGACACAAAGTAGCTTCCAGAATAAGGGAGATTGTATTATATCTATCTATCTATATACACATAAACGTACGTACACACACGCACACACACACACATCAGCTTTATTTTGCAGTCATTGTTCCTCGAAAGGACAAATGTTGCCAGGAAGTCTCTGAGTGCATATTTCTCCATAGCCATTTCATTTGGTAGAGAAATGTAAAACACCGGAGTTGTTCTGCCAAAGGCACCTTGAGAAATGGAAGGGCAATGATCCTACATGTTCAGTTCTGTTTGCCTTTCTTTAACTAGGAAAGCACCAATTTCAGCAGATACCTAATTCTTCCACAATTCTTTCTGCTTGCTAATCATTGCTACCCATTATGGGAGAATTTTAAACTAAAAAACAAACACGTACAATCAAAAGTATTTTCCCACGCTTTTTTTAAAAAAAGAGGGGAAGTATGGCAGTGGAACCATTTGTACAGTGCCCCCAAAAAGTCTACTATTTAGCAGGGCAGAATCCTACTCTGTAAGAAGACAACTAATTATCAGCTAGTGAGAAATAGGGAATTAGCACCTGCACTTCACAAAAGGACACACTACATTTTCAACATGCACAGGAGCACAAGCAGACACAATACACATCTACAGGGCAAAGGGACACAGACCTTTGCACATGCACGCTCTGTAGTTCTGGCTTAGGATCTGTTGAGCTAGAAAAGGGCCACTATATGGCCAGACAAAGTGCACATAAGGTGCCTGTGTGTACGTGTCAGTCCTCGAAACCTTCCCCTTGCCACACTTTTTAATCCACAAGTATCTTCTTCTCCCAAGCCGTAAGGCTTTCCCTAATCAGCACATAACTCAAATTTACAGGGATTTCCATAAGAGAAACAATGTTATATTGTGACTGACATTCTCCTATACAAGCCCCTCAGAATGCTTCACAAAAGGGAATTCAAAAAAGATGCGTTTCACTCTTAAATGAGGAAATGAGTGAAGTCTCTAATGTCGATCCTCCTCACCTGGCCACCTGCAGGCCAAGCTGTCCAGTTGATAGCAGCAGGCTGAATACAAAGACGAGGTAGGCCTTCTTCACCACATCAATTCTTGCATGGCAGCTTTTTGTGCACTTTCCTCAAGACGGGGCTTGCAGTCTAAATTTTCACATCTTCCTGGATACTGAGTTGAGAAAGAGTTTTCTTGATCCGTAAGGCTGTTAGCCGTGCTGCTCCATTGGCATACCAGCACTCTCGCATCATTTTCCCCATAATTCGCAAAGCCTGGGAACAGGGGAAGAATGACATCAGGAGAAATCTCTCTTCAGTAGATCAAATCAATTTTTTTTAAAAAAAATCTATGAATAATAGGTTGCTTATGATGCTACTTTGTGCTTTTTTTTGTTAGTATGCATTTAAAACTGCAGTGGCAACTTAAGTTTTTTAATAGGATTTAAAAAAAAATCTGGTCAAAATAAAATTCAGTGTTTGCCAATTGTCTCTTTAAAAGAAGCAAAGATTTGTTTTCCACAATCATGAAAAAGACATTTTTTTGTCACTAACTGCATTTCCACAGAATTCAAAGTTGTTTTTAAAAACTGGTTGTTAAATATGCTATAATTTGTGTGTAGGGGGGTGTTGGTTTTGTATTACATGAAAACCAAACCAGAGCCAATCCAATTTCTTTTTAACACTCTAAATCTGAAATCTGCACTTGAGTTTTGTCGTCTGCATGTAGACTATTTATTTATATCTTTCCACAAACAAATAAAGAAAATTTGAAAAAATGGTTGTTTTTAAATACCATGTCTGGCTATAATGTGGTCTGCTTGGTTTGGCTTGAAATGTGTGATGTGTGAATCCAATGTGTGTTATTCAAAATGCCACAATTATGCAAACCTTAGCTTAGTGCAATGTATAACCTAGTTCATTTTTAACTGACTGGCTAGAACTATAATCAAAGCCAGAATTTTAATATATTTAGCAGAAAATACTTTTTGTATGTCTGGATTCAACTATAGATTGCACAGACCTTATCCAAAAAGCCAGAATAAAATACTTCAGTACAAAATACAGTAAAAACAGAGGATAAGTTGATATCTGGAGTTCTTTATCCAACTGCTACCAAGATTTCATGCCAACAATTTGCGGAAGCTTTCCGTTCCCCTCTAGCTAATATGACAAATACTATATTAAGAATGATGCTTTATGGCATGCTTTTTAGTTTTCAAGATCAACTGTACCTCATAACTCTGCCACCAGTTGGGAATGTTAGGTCGTAGTTTCTGTTCACATACAACTTTTCGCATTTCTTCAATGGACGGGTCAGAGGGCACAAGGTCATAGTATGGGAGCTGATATTCTTCATGAATACCTAAAAAGGAAAAAAGAGAAACAAGCTATTATTTCTTATGAAAATATCTTTTACATAGGCATAGCAGCATTAATGATAATAAGATGAACAGCCTGCAAAAGGAGCAGGAAGTATGATACAACGTGGAACTTAGCAGTGAACCTGATATCTGATGATGTGTACATATTGGTTTTCAGTAATAAAATATGAACATTATATAATAACAATAATATGTGCACAGGAAAAACACCTGAGAGTCTGTGGCCTGCTTCTTTTAACTTTCAATATTTATGATTACCAACATAGGAAGCAATATAGAAAATAAGAAAAAAAGGAGTTATATATATCCAGCAATTATTACATGAAAAATATAGTCCTAGAAAAAACAAGAAAATTATTATTCACTGTTATATTCTTAACTTTAACAGTGCATTAAAAATATTTTTCTTCTAAGGAGATTATAAATAATGGCTAAGTTAAACCTAGAAGTAATATATTAGTCTTTCAGTTTTGGTAGTTGAGGGTTTTCCAATATACAGAATATACTATCCAATCCATCATAAGTATATGAAACTATTTTTCTTTAGATTTCTCACAATATAGTTATTAAGATCATTATAGATTTCACTACTGCTTTCCTCATAAATATCACTATAATAGCTTTCCAAACTATTTTTCAATATTACATATCATATAACAGTGAACAAAATCTCTTTCCCTCCTTTTTAAACACAAATTTAAAACATTTTTATATTCATTTCACCTTCTGTATTTGGGATCCAGTGATTTTTCTGAATAAAGAAGACATATACTTAACAGTTACTATACAGTTTGTATCTTGCACAAAAATCTTCAATGAGAGATTAATTGCCTATCTTATTATATACACCACTTAGAATTACTTTGGCATAAAAATAAGCAAACAAATATAATATTTTAAAAAATGCTCTTGAACTTAATATTTCTTATCTACTGATATTTTTTTAAAAGTACCTAATTTGTATAATATAAAAAAGACAGTTTTTAAAAACAGGAATTTGCTCTAGCAAAATTAATCTTACAACTACTTCTGCAGTTTCTTTGTTATACCAAAATTTTGATTTCAATACTTTCTTACAAAGTACTAACAACACTGGTATCTAAGTTAGCTTTTTAACATTTCAATTATATTTGAATCCTTTTTTAATCAAAGTTATTAGTATTATCCCTGAGATTAAAGAGTTTTGTTATTAGTCCGTGGCAGAATCATTTTATCTTATTCTAAAGTGTGGCAATTTAAAAAATGATCTATGGAAAAGACCACCTTTTGATTCATTATATTTAAGTTATCCTTTGTTGTCTAATTCAGTTTAATTTATTTGATTATTTGATCTGACTGCAAAATCTTTCTTCATTTCTTCATAAGGCATGTCTTCTTTTTTATCACGGATCTTCTTTTTGTCTAATTTAACTTTTAGTGTCTACTTTTTTTTTGCTTTATACCATTAAATGTGAATTTTTCTTATACAAATGAGTATCATTCCAATTAGCATAGTCATCTTAATATCTACAGTCTGTGTAAGCATTTCAATTATACTATTTGATGTGATAAATTTAACCTTATTCTAATGAGGTCTGAACCATACGTGCACAGACACTAAAAAAACTTTGCCATATGTACGTTTATTGAGATGCTGAAATTGCAGATACAATGTACTTTTAGCAGACTTTCTGGAAGTGGAAAATTTTGAGTCTGGAAAATTTATATTTCTTGTCCTTCCTCTTTTCCATTTATGTGAGTAAGCTTAAATAATACGTTTACTAAGCATATACAGAAGCAGCTATAGCCCATATTCTATGTTCTGCTCCCTGCTTATTTCCATTTAAAATATGATACTGTTTTTCAGTTGATGACAAAAATGAATTAAATAATCCCCACAACTGATCAATAAAAATGTAGTAAAAAAATTACCTTAGTTTGGAATACATTCTGCAGTCATGCAGATTAAGGAGGGATTTTTTTTTATTAATACTTCATGACTTACTACCTCTGTTAATTAGTATATCAAAGAGAACAGGAAAAAAATTAATGTTAATCCTGAACTATAGCTTTGTGGTTTGAACCAATGACTATCATTCAAACCTATTAAAGGAAAGTCTGTCTACAATGCAAAATCAGTGGGAAAAAATCAGATTCTGAATCAGCAACTTTACTTCCTTTGCATCAAAATGTACAGAATTGTAAGATCTGAAGCCAATAGGAAACTCTTAACTTTTATGAGAGAGGGGGAGGGAGGGAATCTATTACCTCCTGAGTTGCACCTGCGAGCAATTTCCCAGTAAACCAGGCCAAGGGCATAGATATCCGCACACTTAAATGAATCAAAATGCTTCATGTTTATTGTTTCATCAAGAACCTCAGGGGCCATGTAACTGTAGCAAAAGAACAATCAGATTAATGGCATCTATTTGAGACACATATGCTTCACATATGCCACATATACAGAAAACTATGCACCTATCGTCTATCGTGAATAAGAACAAGAATTCATTCAACAACTCTTGAGGAAAGCCTATAATATTTAAGGATTTTTTATATTATTTGACTTTCTGTTAACAACGTTTTAAAATGCTTACCAACAGAAGCTAAAAAGAAATATAATTTTGTCTTGCTAGTTAGCAGCACTGTAAAGTTTTATTGGCAGGAAAAGTAAAGCAAGAATCGGAACACAAGCAATCATTCTACAAAACTTTCTCTTGTTTGTCAGATGATTTAGTTGTCTGCTCTAATACCGTACTGTCGTGAGTGATTAGATTTAGATCTACAAGAAATATGGTTGCCAGAAAAACTTACTGAAATACACAATGCACAATGTTTTACACTAAGGATATTAAGGATTATCCCAAATAATTTATTGGAAATCATTTTGAAAGAAGAACATATTAAAACACAATGCAAATTTTAAGCATATAGTTATAGATAAAAGGCAGTTGCCTGATTAATATTGTTCAGCTATCATTAAAGAGAGATTATTCTCCTTCAACAATTCACCATTTAATGAACCGCTCAGGTTTATAGAAATGTTAATTACATTTCTAATGCACATGATTTTGTTAAAAATGTTTTATGATGTAAAGTACCTTATTGGGGAACTCTTTAAATTTCAGAAGTAATTTAATGCTGTAATTGATTCACAAATATCCAATCCTAATGATGCATGTTGAAAAAACTAATTAGATTTAACAGCTAATGGCTAAGAAAATACAATTCTAACAATGATGCAGCCAAAAGGCTATAGAGAAAGGAAGCATTCAAAATTACCAGATGTATCTTTATCTACCCAACCCAGTCAGCTCATATATATACTCACCGTTTTGTTCCAACTCTCTGATTAGGGGCAATATCAATTGTATCAGTTACAGAATCATGGCGGACAGCTAGACCAAGGTCTGCAATGGCACAAGTGCCATTCTTCTTCACTAATATATTTTTGGATTTCAAGTCACGATGTGCAATCCCAGGTTTCCCTAATAAAGTATGAGAGTGAATTCTGTTTATACACTTTGGTCAAGAAAAAACAAAAAAGAGAGTGCAATGTAAAAACCTTGGTTAAGCTGTGGCAATATTCATATGAGATCTAGAAATTGTAATTTATCCTGAAGGAAAAAAGCAAGATCTCTTATCCAACTTTAACAATGTAAATTGAATAGGTCTTCTACTGCCAATTCTTCCTAGATTAAGACAGTAGGACAGTATATGCCTTTTCTATCTTGTTAAATCACCATTTAAAATGCAGGGTGAAGAACTGGAATTATCTATTCTTAGCACATCAATCCTGATTACTTTAAAGTACAATTCCTCATTACTTCAAATAAAAGAAACTATGCTTAACCTCAGTTCGTTAAAAAGAAACTTTAGCTCCACATATTCCAAATATCTCTTCCTCTTAAATAAACAATAACAGATTTCTAAATCTTCTCAATGTTAACCTATAGACTAATTCAATCCAACAAGGTTGGCATAATCCAGGTTCCCTTGATTAAATAATATCATCAATTGGGACCCCAGAAGTGCATCTTTTTTTGTAGCAAACTCTCTGGAATGCTTTTTCCCTGAAATCCAGCCAGCTTCCACTCTGTTTGTTTTGAGGAGCCATGAACTCCTGGCTCTTCACCCAGGCCTTTGGCAAATAAGGAGATCCCTTGCCTTGTTCCTCCTAGTCTGTTGTGCTTGGCATCTTTTACTGATTGTATTGTAAAATTTTACTGTTTATCTTGAATGACCCAGAATCACTGAGAATTGGGCAGCACACAAGTTTAAAAATTATCACTATTGCTGTTCTTAGAGTCAATGAATCTCTTTATATCAAAAGAATTTATTCTCTTTTTCAGCTCATGTCTATCAATAACAGAAGCTTGTTTTTCTGATTTTCCAACTGTTCATTATCAAATGTACATCTGTATCCCTTACCTTGAGTCCCCACAATTTCCATGTGAAGATGTGCCAAGCCACTGGCAGCAGACAGAGCCAATTTAATCATCCCTTCAATAGTTACAGTATATCGGTTGAGGTAATCAAACAGAGAACCATGCTCATGGTAATCAGAGACCAACCATAATTGTGTCCAAGTACCATTATCTGTTGGCAGTACAAAAAAAAAGGAAAATGTACTGAAACAAGTAAATAACAATCGTCTTTTTTTAGATGTCATTGAAGAGCAGCAGATTCATTACTGCTTGCTGCTATTTAGCATAGTTCAGAAATAAGTTATATTTTAACTCCATCTGTGTAGCTATTTATTGTGGGATTTATACTAAAGCAAGTTTGTACTGTAGATTCATTTTCCCTTTCCAGTTTAGTCTTCACAATAATCAAAATATTATGGTAGAGATTGGACTGGGCAATGATTTCCTCTTTCTCATCCTTGCCCCAGAAAATGTCATTAACATGCCCTCTGATAACATGCCCTCTGATAGAGACCGATGGGAAATAAGGAGAGAGAGAGAAGGGAGAAGAGAAACAGGAACATCTGGAGAAGCAATAGCATTCTGTAGAGCTGACCACCACAGTAGAATGAGGAGCTGGTGAATGGATCATAAAGAGAACCTGGGATGGCCCATTCTCTATATCAGCAGTCCCCAGCCTTTCCAACTCTGCGGACCACAGGCGGTGGGGGAGAGGGAGGGGATAGTTTCATGCGTGCGCAACGCTTGTGTAAATGCAACTTTGCACACTTGCCTGCCACTTCTGCGGCCCGGTCCCCAACCCATGGGCTGTGGACCAGGGGTTGGGGACCCCTGCTCTGTACAGAGGCTCCCCACAAGGAGATCGTAAGACAGTTGTTCTGGTGGGTTTTAGAGCTCTAGGAGCTGTAGGAAAGGCAAGTGATTTGAATAACTGCTTACCTTGGATCTACAAAAGAGATGTGTTAAATTTCAAATTTTGGTATACTATTTAAAGAGATTAAAGATCAGGATTTTTTTTTTAAAGGGAAGGAATATAAAGTTGGCTTATTTGATCAAGATTAAAATACATACAATGTTGTTTCTGGTAGTTCTTAATGCATTTTCCTTGAATGGGACTCAATGAAAAAGAGATTTTTAAAGATTTATTTATAGATATGAGATAATATATGGGAACAAGGTATTTTTTGTTGTATTTTCAGAAAAAGTGATAAGGTATTGTTTTAAAAAGGAAAAGAATATGAAACATTTATTTGATTAAATTAAAAATATATATGTTGTTTTTTCTCATAACTGAATGGATTTTGTGATTAGGACTGAATGAAAAAGCTTTAAATTTTGTTTCTAGGCAAGCAATGAGATATGGAACAATTTTTGTTGTTATATGGAAAAGTTGATAAGTTACTGAAATTATACTTGTCTTGGTGAAGTCTTTGCATATGTCTTTATTTTTTTCCCCTTTTCCTTGCACTTTTTCCCTTTTCCCTTAGTTTGTATATATTTTGTGTATATTTGTTTATGTAAATTTTAATAAACATTATAAAAATATCTCAGATGGTCTGTACCCAGTTTTTGTTTTCAGATTTGCCACTGTACAATGCAGCTAACTAATCCAGGCCTATATACTTCTCTCCACAGAATTGTGATTGCAGACTGTTTTTGGGTCTATAAAAGGCAGAAAGATAGCTTGTTTTATCATAAAAGCAGAGGATAATAATGCTTAAGCCAGTGGTGGCGAATCTATGGCATGCATGCCAGAGGCAGCACTCAGAGCCCTCTCTGTGAGCACACGTGCTGTTGCCCTAGCCTTGCCCCCCCCCTCACCAGCAGCCCCCCTTGAGGAGAGTTGCCCCCGAGCTTGGCCCACACGGAGCAGCACAGCCAAGGACATGGCAGCCAGGCAGCATAGAGAAGACTCTGCCCTCACGCTCCATTGTGCATAGTTGATGCTATGAGGCGAGGGCAGAGGGCGTGGCTGCCATGACAATCTGTGGCGGGCCCTGGAGTCGGTGAGTGGCCCTGCGGGCAGGCAGGGTGGGGGCGGGGTGAGGGTGGAGCGGAGCGGGGCCAGTTTTTGGGCACCCGGTCTCGAAAAGGTTCGCCATCACTGGGTTTGTCAGTCTTTGCTCCACTAGAAGGCAGTTAAGAACTAATGTGCAGGAATGTTGTCATTTCATATAGCATTAGATTAGTGAAGCTTGAAGAGCTTCAAAATAATGTCCTTTTCCAGATACTTAACAAATTTGCATGAACTGTACAAGGTCAGACCCGTTTCTCAATGTTGGTTTCTGTTTTTTGACTGGGTATGTTTCCAGGTATGAAAATGCAATGAGCAGAATGAAGGAAGCAAAACTTAAGAGCTAATCTAGCACCAAGCCATCATCAAACATATTTTGTTAGAATGTCTCACATTCAAGACAAAGGAATAAAAGAAACAATAAGAGACAATCCCAAAGGTGGTAAAGTTCAGAAACTAAGAGTTTTAAAAGCTTTTGTGAGATTATTCCTTTCCAGTTTCAAATGTAGATCTGATAAAAATTACTTTTATGAAAGTAATCAATTAAACTTTAAGAACTGATTGCCATCCCAAGGAAGAATGTAATGTTCTAGACAAGAAATTGTCAATCGTAGCTTGAATTATACAGTGCAATTATGTTAACATGATCAGTTTCTTTTTCTTATAATAGTTGCTTACTAAAAACTGTTTGTGCAGTTTATATGAAAGAAGGAAGTGAAACGAAGTGCCAGTTGCTTTTCACACTGCATCTTGCAGTCTAAGCCATTATAGCTGTAGTATTTTTCCTGGATGAAGCCATCTCTGTGATGGTGAAAATAGACTGAGAGATTAACAATTCATCATTCCAATTTCTTACATGTTAATAACCAAGTTTCTATATAAGAGGGATGTAGGTCCAAAGTTGATTTCTTTCCTCCTGTGTGATAGATGTTTAGCTCAAACCAATGTTTAAATATCTAAGGGCTAGCATTCTAGAATATTTTAGGTTAGGATAATAAAAGTAATCCCTATACTGTTTATGAAATCCACAAGAGATAACTTTTTAATTATACAATGTTGTCTCAGTCTATTGTAATGACAAAAAAAATGTCCTGCCTGTTCTCCTGTATGCAAACCTTAACATAAGGTAGAACTCCCAATTCATTACCACCTTGGATTTTTTGACAATTCTCCAGTGTTTCAAGTTCCCTCAGCCACTTCTTCCTGTTGTCAATATGTATTCCCTCTTGCTCTTAAAGCTGATCTGACATTGTTCCTTTTTTCTTCAATGTTTACATCCCCAGCTCTTAAGTAAAAGTAATTTTTTTTATTTCTATCCAAGCTCCTCTCCCCCAAATTACCTGCCAAAAATCTATGCTACTATTCTAGTTTCCTAGCATATAAAATGTTCTATAACGTTTTAGGATATTGTTTATCAATACAGCTAACAGATACACACATTTTTATCACTATTGCTAAATTATCATGCAGCTTATTAATTGGGTTTTAATTCAAAGCAACATATAATAGCCATTGCTGTCTTATTAATACACAATAACTGAATTCAAAATCACATGTAGTTGTGGTTTTAAGCACTGCTGTAAACAGTTCAGAGTCAAGCCTATGAACAAGCAAAGATAGCCACTGTGTTTTTTGCCTCCCCCTCCCCCCTTCAAAGCTGTTTTGACATACTCTGCAGATTGGTAAGGTAAGGCAAACCTGGAATAAGCAAAGAAGCCACAGACCTCAAAGCATATTCATAGATCATGCTAAGGGGACAAGTCTTAATTTCAAGTTGACCTGTTTTGTAGTACATGCTAAATCACACATTTAAAAAAAAGGAAAATTAGATTTTAGTGCAAAGTATGAACCCATCATACATCAATATTAGGCTTCAAAAACAATTGAAGCATTTGTTTGTTTACTGGAACATCAAAGCAACAAAATACCTTTGTTGTCTGCAGCAATAAATCCTAGAATGTTCTCATGGCGCAACATGACTGTTTGATAGATTTCAGCTTCTCTAAACCACGATCGCTCTTCCCGCGATGAGAAAATTTTCACAGCTACATCACCACCACGCCATCGGCCACGCCACACTTCCCCAAAGCGACCTTTGCCAATGATTTCCTGGAGGACAATTGTTCGAGCCACAGTACGTTGGACAAACAGTGGCAAGCCTGAAAGCAGAGAATGAAGGAGGAAAACAGAGGCAAAGCAGAAGTCAATGACAAGAACAGTAAGCTCATCTTGATTTTATCCCCCTTCAAGTACACACACATCTGATATAATTATATCAGATATCAATGTGACATTCTATCCCCCCCAAAATCTCTTATTGAGGATTCATGTTAACAGAAGCAGTTAATAGTTAAGCCAAGGAAATGTGTGGCCCTAGAACTAGAATTCCTTTGGACATTAATAATTTTGACTGCTGTGGCTAGCTGCCAATACTCTTTATTTATTTCTTTTTCAGTATCTTAAAGCCTGTTCTGGAATTACCACTGGGAGGCATTGAAATAAAATGTTAAACCATGCAAGAGTTTTCATTTTTAACCATTGCAATTTGCTGTAAAACACTGAAATATTTGGAAGTTCAGTTTTTCATATATTTACTGTCAAAGCAAAAACATCCGATATTACTACTACTACTACTACTACTACTACTACTATTACTACTACTACTACTACTACTACTACTGTTAAAAATAGATTATAAAATATTTTAGAAATGGATGGGTATGTTTGTGTTTCAGTCCTAGGTCTTTTTTTTTTCCAGGTACACCACACCTTCAAACTTGAAGTAAACCCTACTTCTTTACTCAACTCACCAGCTAATTGCAAAATATTTTGTTTTGAAGCTTCTCAGTTTTTCTTTTGACTATAATTTAACAATTGGACCAGGGTATTGGACTCTGAACATTTGTACTACTAGTTGCCTTTCTTTTAAAGAAACATGGAATTTTTTAAAAAATGATTAAAAATTACCTTTTCGGTGAATCTATTCCTGTGGAATTGGAACTTGGACAATTGGTGGTGAGCTCTCATGAGAACACTTCATTTTTCTATTTAATCCTGTGCTGATTGGAGTGAACTTATAAACAACCTGAGACGTTTTCTATTATCTTTTCCTCTATATTTCTGGTAGTGTTCCCAGCTGCAATTTATTTTTTAGACACTAGATGGTACTATTAACTAGATTGCACAGATCAAGTGGATTTATAAGTTTTATATATCACTTCACAGTGCTTTACAGGCCTCTCTAAGAGATTTACAGAGTCAGCATATTGCCCCCAACAATCTGGGTCTTCATTTTATCGACCTTGGAAGGATGGAAGGCTGAGTCAACCCTGAGAATTGAACAGAATTAGCCTGCAATACAGCATTCTAACCACTGGAGTCTGGAGTCTCTAGTCTGTGCTCTTCAAGCAGAAATTAGGTGTCCAACTCAGCCATTCTGCTTTATTGAACTGCCATGCTATCAGCCCCCTCTACCACAATGATCCTGCAGGAGAAGGGCAGTGTGGATAACTGTGGAATCTGGCAGGGTGAGAGCTGTGAACCATAAACACAAAGCTTTCACTGTGTCCCTGCATAACAGATACGATGGCCTCGCTGACCTTAATAGGGACACACTAAGGAGGCAAGTCAAGATAGTTGTGATGATGATAACTCAAATAAGCAGGAGACTGTGGTTCAAGATGAAGAACTTGTTTTGAATAGGGGAAAGTGTGAATCAGATATTACACACCAGTTATGCAAGAAGAGCAGGGCATCCAAAAAGAGAAGCCAGCTTCTGATTGGTGATTCAATCATAAGGGATGTAAATTTAGGAAACGATATCAAGGTTTTGAAAGAGGTCAAGCATCTGCCAGGTGCTACTGTCAGTAGAGGCATATTTTTAAGGTATTCAAGAATTGCCAATAAAGACTGATGTTGATGCTATTGTACATCTTGGCATGAATGATCTGTTCCAAAAATATGTACTCTCTGTGCAGAATGATTTCCAGAGTTTGGGGCAGGAACTCAGTAGGATAGGCTGTAGGCTTAATTTTTCAGAGATTTTATCAGTATATAAGGAACAAAAGAAAAATGGCAGCATATAGCAGAGTTCAATGTGTGGCTAAAGGAGTGGTGTAAAGGGGAAGGCTTTGATTATATTAGTCATGATGTCTGCAGCTGGTCCAATGAAAAACTGTACAAAAGAGGTAGTCTGCATCGGTCAAAGAAAGGGACTACTTGGCATTAGATTCACAGACTTTCTGGAGAAACATTTAAACTAAACAACGGGGACATATAGAACGTTACTGTCCCTAGCAATCTAAAACTAATAGGGTTATAAATGTAATAGATATTTGTGCGGGTAAGAATATCAATCTTGCTGTCAAGTAAAATCAAGCTTATAATAGTGAGTGCTGTACCAAGACTAATCAAACAGGTGATAAGGAAGTAGGGGAATTCAGGCACCAGATAGATTAGGTAGAAAGTAAACACAGGGTCAGCCAAAAAGGACTCAAATGTCTATACACCAACACACAGAGTATGAACAATAAACAGAGTGAACTAGAAATTCAAGTAAATGAAGGCAGATATGATATTGTTGCCATTACGGAAACTTGGTGGGATGAAACCCACACATGGAACATGCAGCTAGAGGGATTTAAATTATTTAAAAGAAACAAGACCAAATAAGAGAGGAAGTGGAGTTGCACTATATATATGAAATAACTACATCTCTACAGAAATAGAGCACAACAATGATGGAAACTGTCTTGAATGCATTCAGGTCAATATAAAAGAGGGCAAAAATGACGTTGCCATAGATGTATTCTACTGTGTTTCCCCAAAAATAAGCCCTATCCCAAAAATAAGCCCTAGCTTGAAATTTATGCATGTGCCTAATATAAGCCTTATCCTCAAAATAAGTCCTAGTTTTGGGGCAAGGCGCACATGTAACAGGTGGGCGGTGGAGCTGCCCCACATGCCCCGCACCTGCTATCTTAGGACTGCCGCAGTCAGGCCACCCACACCCTGACACCTGTCGTGCTGCTGCCTGAGTTCTTCTGTGGCTGCATATCACGTGGTACATCCGCTGCCACCGCTCGCAAGAGGCCATATGGCGCGCTGATTACACCAGTCCACCGCTCACAACAGGAGGCCACGTGCCTCAGCACGCTGATGCCATAGCTCGTGGCAGGCCGTGAGTGGCAGCAGCGGCGCAATGGGCATGACAAGCCATTGGGGCCTCCTGCCGCTTATGGCGGACTGGCATGATTGGCGCAACGATCCACACGGTCTCCTGCTGCTCACGATGGCAGTGACACAATGCACCTAAAACTGCATTTCTTTGCTTACTGTTGATATGCATGAATGTGACTTTAAGAAACAGGTTACTGGAATAGGAATTCTTGATTTGAGATTTAGGTGGCACAGCTATTTATGGTATCATAAACTTGGGGTTAACCTATATTTTAATAATCCCTTTATTAAAATGGTAAAAGATTTCTGCTGCCAATCGTGCCTGATTCTAGGGGGTGGTGTTCATCTCCAATTCACAGCCGAAGAGCCAGCATTATCTGAAGACGCTTCTGTGTTGTGGGGCTGCCATGATTATAGGCCAAGGCACACAGAACACGGTTACCTTCCCACCAAGTTGGTACCAATTTATCTACTTGTGTCTATATGCTTTTGAACGGCTAGGTGGGCAGGAGCTGGGGTAAGTAACTCCATCACGCGTACTTAGGTCTAAGGCTTGGCCACTGCACTTCCCATCACTTTATCAGGCATGCCAAATTGAGGGTTTGGAATAGGTATAAACCAAGAACGATTCCTCTAAAATTCCTCTATTTTTTTTTCTCAAAAAGCCTTTTTCAAAACAGAAATGATAGTTACATGAAACTGGTTGACTTATGCCTATTTACTGACTTTTTTTGGACAATCTAAATTAAATTCAAAAGTAGAATTCATAAAGAAAGGTCATTTATGCTCAGTTGATAGAAAAGTTTAAACTGGATAAGAATTATGATTGTGCAAATGAGGAAACTGACTTTGAACTAATTTGTGTATTAATGATGAATGTGCTATTGCTAAGATGTATAAACCTAATAAAAGTTTGGATACAATATAATGCTTGATCAGTGGGAAAATATGTTGAGTCAAGGATTGAAATTACATTGAATTGGATGCTGAAAAGAAAAATAAAATCCAGCCAGAGTGGATTTTTTGTGTGTTTAATGTTAGATGTTTGGGTCTTTTTCCCCCTTTTTTTCTACACATTTTGTTGTTATTATTGTTGTTACTTTTGGATATTTGCTTTTTCTGTTTTGTATTTTATTCCCATTGGTAAAACATAATAAATATATACATGGAAAGAAATTACATTGAATTATAATCTGAAAGAGAATTTCTGCAAGATAATGTATTGTTGGTATTTAATATTGGATAAATTGTCAAAGATATATAAATATATGTTGGAAATGCAACCCGTGTGAAGGTACTTGTGATAATTTTTGATAGACTTATTAGAAGCTAAGGGATCAGATATGTACTTTAATTCAGAGAATTCTTAAAATAAATGTACAATTGAAATAAGAAATTTTCCTTTTAGGTTTGACGGACAAACTGAAGGAAAACAGAACTTTTTTTTAAATAGAAGATAACCGCGAGACTGATGCATGCTCAGAGACAGAAGGAGTTACGAATTCTTACAACAGAATAGGCAGCGAAGTTAATGGAATGAAATGGTGAAATTGACTGCTTTGATCAAAGAGAGTTCTTTATCTAGCTTTGTTTCTCTGTGGAAATGACTTTAGGATTTTTTTGGGTTGAAACTGAAAGAAACAAAATTTTAATGTTGGGATTTGATGATTATAACCGTTTATAATTATGGCAATACTGTATATTATGGTTTAAAGGTTACCTTAACTTTATATTTAGGGGATTTGTAACTATATCAAAGAAAGCCAGAAGCTAGTCTCTTCTGTGTGTTTTTTTAATATTTTTACCCTTGTATTATGTTTTCCCTAACTCTTTCTTTTGTATTTTATCATTTATTGAAACTTAAGTTTTGTAAAAAAAAGTAAGTTATTACTAATATTTCACCTTGTTTGTTAGCATTCTTATTACTAACTTTAGTAGAATCAGTACTAATAAAACGCTATATCACCTTGATTTCAAATACAGTTACCTACAGCTCTGTATGACTTATTTAAAGGAAGAATTAACTGCACGTTTTGGTGACAATGAGTTAATTTATTTTGAAGTGTATAATTTTAGCTTTTAATACCTTGCAGGTACAGTTTGTGGAAAACACTCTAAAGCAACCTCCAGTACAAAAAAAAAAAAAAAAACGGGTAGCCATTTAGGTGGAAGTTGTGCAAAAATCTCTAGGAGGCATTGGTATTCTTAGGTTAACAATACAGATTACATTTATATATTGAAGTTTATGATAAAACTAAAAATCTTTAAATAAAAGACACATTATACCTGAACCAGAGCCAGAAGTAGACAAATCATAGACCAGATCTTGCAGAGTCTTGTCCTTGGATAGACACATTTCACAAGATGGATCCTCCATGTCCAGCCGCTGACGATTGTGGTACACACGTGGATGGTGATGGAAGACAAAAACTAATATAATCATAATGATGAACACAAGAAAGACTGGCCCTGCAATGACAGCCACCAGTTCCACAGGTCCCCAGATTGAAGAAGTTTCATTATCCTTCCAATGTCCTGGAGAGGGAAGACAAGAAAGAAAAGCTTCAAATTCAAACCCAGTATATATCTAAGGATTTAAAAAAAATAAAATAATAGAGACTACATTCAATAGATTTGAAGGCATACAATTGAAAAGTAAGAATAAACATTTAAAGGAATTGACATGCCTTGGAGTCTCAGGGATGCATGTACTTCAGCTACAATGAAATCAGAAACATTTATTTTTAATGATTAAAAATGGAAGCTTGTAATTACACCAAAACCATAAAAAAGTGGAAGTGGATATTTCTGTTATCCCCTATTGCTGCTGCACCAAAAACAGGAAATCAGGATTCATGTTCATAACATTAAATTTTTGTTTAGCATTACATATAAACAAGTAACTGCAAACAGCAAAGACCAAATAAATGTTTTTAGTACTTTAAAAGTTTCTCCCTATCTTTTCCTCATATTGCCAATAAACAGAACATTGGTTTGCAATAGTGGCGAATATCTGTAGCTCGGGAATAAGATGAGGGTGAAGGTTCATTCTCCGACCTTGTGGGTTGGCTTCCGAACGCTGCATTACCAGGCTAGGTAACATCTTCAGCAGAGTTTAGGGGATGTCTGTTTCTGTGCTCTTCTGTTTGTAAGGGTTTCAGGTATAGCTGTGTCAAATAAGGGTCAGGTGTGAGTCATCAGTGAGAGGCTTGTGGTGGATCTTGTGATGGGGAGATTACTTCAGGTCAGGGTCATTGGAAAGTGAACTGCTGGTGGGGGGGAGGGAGCTTGTGCGGGTTGGTGCTGTCTCTGATTGGTTGTGCGGTTGATTTGGATTCTGAATGGTTTGTAAGCTGGTTGTAGGTCAATGTGTCTGTTGATGGAATTGTTTGTGAAGTGCCAGGCTTCAATGAACTCACAAACATGGCGGGTGGTAGTGTGGCCAATGATTTTAAACAAAATAATAAGACCTTTCTTCTTTCATAGCCCTATATTCCTGTTGAAGGTTAACACTATTATTTCGTCATTGAAAATCTAATTCTTCTTACTGCTTTCTTTTATTTAATATATATGAAGATATACCCACATATAATAAAAGCAATACCTCCCCAAGATTGAGTACCTCTAGTAGGAACTTATTTGTCAGTGAAGACTTTTTGATAACATAGCTTATGGAAACAGACTTAAGCTTACATCAGCTTAAGTGTACAGTATGGAAGACAAAAGACTTCATTATACTTTCAAAGATTATTTAAATAGTATTAAGCATTGCTTTCAATTTTCTATTTTATCTTCCCTAATTGGTTAAGAAATAATCTTATGCCAAATGTTTTATTTAGCTTTTGTTAAAAGATTTCCATATATTCTAAATGCAGATTATTTTCTGAAATCACTCATGCATGCTGCAATGAAATGTACTGCCACAAGAGGGAGTCAAACCCTTCCCCAACAATATTTCTTACTTTTTACACATAAGAGTGTATAGTAGTATTACCACAAAATTTAATTCATAGAATTTAATATTGCAGCCTAGCTAATGAATAGGCTTTTAAAAACTTGTCTGACTGAGACTGTATAATATGATGGAAAGTGACATTTAATTAGAAGTTCAACTGATTATTTTATATGGCTGTACTTTTAAGGTTTTCATCAATTTTTATTATATTTGGTACAAAATGATACCATAAACAGATGCAATAATATACTTTCCAAAACTATCTCTTCAATATTAAATACAATTCCAGCTTTTTAAAATTCAATCTTTGTTGACATAAATCCAATTCCAATACTGTCCAGGCTTAGCTATTTCCCCAGAATTCAAGTATTAAAATATTTTTCTGAAGATTGCACATGAACTCTTATGGAAAAAAATATTAAAATTAGCTTATGTTGTGTTTTAAAAAAATCCAGCTGCTTTACTATGCTTTTTATCTAAGATGCTGTAAACCACCCAAGTCACTTAGAAGAGTGGTGTAGAAATTTAATAAATAAATACATAAAATAATGAATGCCATTTCGGAATATCCAGGAAGGGAGCTTTTTCTTTTTATTTACCTACTGTTGGAATATAATTTCTGTAGAGATTAAATTGACTCTGGACCCTATCAGCTGTTTTGTAAGCCCTTGCAAAGACTTAGTTTTGTCACCGAGTCTGGGGGTTAGAAATTTGGGCTGAATCCCATACACTGCTTATGTTAACCTGTGATTGATGGTTTGTTTTTACAATGGTTCCTATTTTTATTTTTTCTTCTCAATTAATTAAATTTATATGCATTCTTTTAACAGTGTTAGTGGTCCAGAGTCATGAATTTAAGATGGGAAGCTATTTAAATTGAAAAAATAAATAATAACTAAATAATTATCAGGATATATTAAGGCTGATATAACTACAGCATAAAAATAATCAGGCTTGCTTTAATTGCCTATAAAAACTCACAGAGCATTCTCATATTCAATCTATTATTATACTTACCACTGGGTACCATGAGATCAATTTTGTTACAGTAGTCAAAGTAGCAACAATGTGTGTTGCGTACAGCTTCCGAACTAAGGCAGAAAAATGGTTTTCCAGCAGGAATCAACTTTACTTCAGGAATACATGTCCGGGTGTGATGCTTCATTCCATTCACATTTGTTATTGAGACCATACAGGCGCCATCTGTTTCGCATGTGGCATTGGCTTGATTGCAGTCAGAGCACAAACACAATAAAGCTGAAGTAACAAGAAAAATAATTCTGTGTGACAAACTACTTACAAGAAGGATTAATTGGAATTCTATTACCTTTGAAATGGAACTATATATTATTGCAAAGTTTAATTGAACCATTAAGAGTTTAAAATAATAGAAATATTGCTGTATATGAACAATGTTTTTATTCCACAGGCTTCCTCTCTGTGGGAAGTCTATAGAAGAAAATAATTAATGTCTATTTGCTATAATTCTGATGTTTAACTGCCTCCGTGGAATAAGATATTTCTCTTATGCACAGTTGCTTTCTACAGAATGCAGATTCATATCTCAAGGTTATTCTGTCAATTCAGTTTTGAAGGAATTATATCTCTTAGAAGTAGGTACTTAATTTCCTTACACTTCAGCTATACAATAACATATTTCTGAATAACTCAGGTATTCCATCTACTGCAATGGACCAACTCCACAAAGGCCAGTAATACATTTGTTTTAGCCCTGTTTCTGCTCCATCTGATTTCTTAAAAATTGAAAGCATGAAGTCTATAGGCGCAGTTGTGTTTGTGGCAAGTGAGCTGAATTTTAATAGGAATAATGAAAATCTACTGTAATGAACATGCAAAATAACTCTCACTGAACTTGTCCAAAAAAGAAAAGGTTCAAACATTGGCATAAATATCAGGATTCAAACTGAATATCTGAAATGAAAGACTCAGCAACTAGTCTCTCACCATCTAGAAAAACAAAGTTATCCAAGGCAACCATCAATTCTCTAGAACAAAAATAAGTTTCCTTCTTTAAAAAATAATGAAGGCTATATGCAGACAAATTAATATATTTTAATAATTTGCAAATACATAAAATATTTAAATAAAATAAATAAACAATAGTATTTTCTTCTCTCTCCCAATTTTATTGGGGCCAACGAACAAAGAAAAATAAACACCACTGGCTACCATAATAGATACCACAACCTAGGAAAAAGATATTTGCTGATACTCGAAATAATATGACATAAAATTAAGATAGGTAATTTATATCCATGTATCCTGTGGGGTAGTTTCATGTTGTCCTCAGTGTCACTGATCATTATGAATGCTGTAGATTCAAGCAGAGAGAAACAAAGAGCTATCTAATCCTGAAATAGTGCAAATTCCAGTCAGTTTTGCCTCTAGCTTTGTCACCACTATCTGTAACGTATTATTTTTCATGTGACTTTACTTATATTAAAAAGGCTGCACTTAGAAAGGTAAACGGAGTCAGGGCTATTTGGTACTTGGATGAAAGATCACTAGGAAATCTTAGTGCTGGAGGCTATCCTGAATTTAAAAAAAAAAAAAATCCATACTATTGAGGGGAAAAAAAGCTACATACATATGTACATGAAATCACCAGCAGTCAAGATCAGTTCAAGACAGATTTGATTTGATTTACTATAGAACAACAATCCTTTATGGGAGAAAGAATGGTCATTGCAACTGAAAATTTAGCCTGTCATGAATTTACTAGGTCAGTGATGGCGAACCTTTTTAAGATTGAGTGCCCCAAAACTGGCCCCGCCCTGCTCCACCCCCCACCCCGCCCCTACCCTGCCTGCCTGCCTGCAGGGCCACTCACCGCCTCCAGGGCCTGCCGCAGATTGCCATGGCAGCCATGCCCTCTGCCCGCGCCTCATAGCATCAACTGTGTGCGATGGGGCGTGAGGGCAGAGTCTTGCCTATGCTTCCTGGCTGCCATGTCCTTGGCTGTGCTGCTCCGTGTGGGCCATGCTCAGGGGCGACTTTCCTCCAGGGGGGCTGCTGGTGAGGGGGTGGCGGGGGGAGGCAAGGCTGGGGCAACAGCATAGAGAGGGCTCCGAGTGCCGCCTCTGGCACACATGCCATAGGTTCGCCACCACTGTACTAGGTAGTCTAGAATAAACCATATTCTCTGAATGTACTGATATTGATGTTAGCTTATCTTGCAGAGCATGACTAAAGATTTATTTGGTTGAAACCAGCTCTGAAAGGTTTACTAAAGTACTATTTCAAGTACTTGAAAATTCTCACTTTCCTCTCTCTTCTCAAATACTAGTACTCCCTTGTATTTGAGTTTCTTACAATTATACTTATATCTTAACTGACCAAATTACGCTTACGATAGTAACAATTTCAAATTGTAGACCACAAAACCACTTTAATCCACAGTTTGAGGTTAACAACAATCATAATTTGTCTGATTCAATGCCATAGCCAATGGTGGTTAAATAAAAACAGGTTATGAAATTGATGTACTAAAGAGGAAACAAAATTTATCCTATATAGTATGTGATTTAGAGAAGTGGAATGTGATATCTGAACTGTATGTGAAAATCTTCAAATACTAAAATACAATCTATAGTTATTTGTAAGCCCTATTATGTTTAGCAAAATTACTGTTTTCTAGATAAATATAGCTCAATACATTTATGTACGGGTATTACTATTTACATGTCTGAGCAAATGGTAGCACTTGGCTGACCTTTTCTGGGTTTGGTAGTTAAGTAAGGTCAGGCTTGATTAATACTTGGATAGGAAACTATCAGGAAATAGCAAGGTTGTAAGCTAAAATGGAAAGTCTTTAGAAGAAAAATTCAGCAGATGGCATCGACAAACCATTTCCAGACTGTTACTTAGAAAATTACATGAACATATCTAAAAGGATTAAGAGTCAAGCTTGATTCAAGGTCATTTTTATTATTTATATCTGTGCTTCAATTTAACTTCTGCATACATCAGTAAGTCGTAACAGCTATTACAGAGACCCAGTCTGGGAAAGTGGTTACGGTACCAAGCTAGAAACCAGGAGACCATGAGCTCTAGTCCTGCCCCAGCTGGGTGACCTTCAGTCAGTGACTTTCTCTCAGTCCTGGAAAACGGGCAATGGCAAACCATTTCCTGAAAAACCTTGCCAAGAAAACTGCAGATATTTGGTCCAGGAGTCAACAATAACCGGAGGGCACAAAAAAACAAAAACTCTACAAGCAAACAATCAGCAATTATAATTTAAACTACGCTATTTGTTACAAAATCTCATGTAAATGGAGAACTATATTGCAAAGATTGGTCACATTATCTCTCCCTCATAATGCAAACCTATGTATGAGGGAGGAAGAATTGCTAATAAGTTATGGAGAAGAGGAGGAATTTTACAGGAGAATTGTAAAAGAGGGCTGCTTGGCCTTTCTATACCCAGTTCTCCCATCTAAACGACATTGCTACTGGCTATCGTGATAACTTCCAGCTTTCCTCAAAAACAGAAAATGAATCTGACTGGTATAACACTACTTAATGGCAGAAGAACAAAATAATATGCACAGCAATAATTAATCCCGCCTCTGCCAATGCTTCAATGCCAGAAAAATCAGGATTGGGAACAAATATTTGCCAACACTGTACATAATTTCAGTTCAAATGTTGTGAAATGTCACTTGCTTTCTACAACTCAACAGCCACTTGCTATGTCACTGGAAAACAACTACATTCTGCTTTTTAATAAACACAAAGCAGCTATCAAATTTCATCATTTCAGGTTTTGAGCCAAAATCATTCTTCTGTCAAAGGTACATGGAAAAAACCATCAAGCTAAATCTAAGCAGTGAGGATAAATTTAGTAATGTCAAGAAAAAAGGTGTGTGAACCTAAGAAACGTAACATACTTTCTGCAATACTCAGCAGATTCTGTTTCCCAGAAGGAATAAAGAGCATGTACATACCTGTTGGACAGCTTAATGCAAAAAGTTAGATTTATCTAAACAAAGGAAAAAAATGGTTTCCCATTCCTAACAAGAAAGTGCTATAAATCAAGATCACAGGATTACATCATATTTCTTTACGACTCATCCTCAATAGAGTTTATTATGGTCTTCTATATCAGGGCTTTTCAACCTTTTCACCCATTGTACCACTTTTAGGATATGGCAACATCTGAGTACCACCAGTCACCTAGCAAGGTGTCAAAAACTTGATGACCCTCCCCAAAGGAAAAAAGTGATAAAGTAACAGGTAGTCCTCCACTTACAACAGTTTGCTTAGTGATTGTTCGAAGTTACAAAAGTGCCCCCCAAGCCACAGCCGAGAAAGACACCTGCCTGCCCGCCTGGCGGCGCTCTTCCTCCTGTCCGAGGTTTTCATTGTTGTGAGCATTTCTATTGAGGATTGGCAGCAGGGCTGGGGTGGGGGGGGTGTTTGGTTTTTATTCCCCCCGTCTGCTGGGTGGTTGCAAAAGGTTTTGGTCACTTCACATGATCCTGGGACACTGTGACCGTCATAAATTTGAATCAGTGCCAAGCATCTGAATGTAAATCACAAGACCCTGGAGATGCCGCAACATTCCAGCTCATCGGCACTTCTGGGCTCAGCGGAAGTGCCAGGATCTGCGCCGAACTCCAGCTGGAGCCTGGCGCTGATCCTGATGCTTCCGCTGACCCGACAGTCCCAAAGAAGCGCCAATCCCGGCGCTTCCGCTGAGCCCTGATAGCCTGAAGCTCCAGCCATCTCTCGCTCAGGCTTGTGCGGTGCTGCCACGGGTTCAGCTCATTCCCTCCCCCGCTACTTTTCTAGGATGGTCGCGTACCACCTGCCAGGTGCCAATGTACCACAGGTGGTACCTGTACTACTTGTTGAAAAGCCCTGTTCTATATACTTTCATGAACTGTAAACATATTCTGTGAACATCTGCAGCTATGAAGGACTAGTTCATTGCTTCTTTACGGACACTGGTGTGCCTTTTACAATTTTTCTTTATAGATACTGAAACAGATACATTCTTATAGCATCAAAACAGTAATAAAAGAAATCATCACATGATTTGAAGCAATAAATCATCACATGATTTGAAGCAATAAACCTGTTGGCTAAGTTAAGTGTTTCTTGGAATTGAAAGGAAATATTCCAGATACCACAAGAAGTAGTGACATGGAGAAACATACTTCTCAATATTACCATTATAGGAAAAGATTTAGTGCAGCACCATAGAGCAAACATGTCAAACTCGTGATGTCGCA